CAAAATATGGGAATTTAAAATGATGAGTTGAATTACATTGAATCACTGTGTAAATACTGTTATTCAAAATGTAAGTGGCTTTCATTTGGTTTATCTCCATTTACTTTGGAAGCAAAGTGAGCTAAATTGTATTAAGGCTATTATTATTCTGAATGTGTGTGTCCATACAGGGATTTAATGTAGTATAATTTATCCATTTTAACATTGTAGATAAACTAATCCGTTAAAATTTAATTAAAACATCCATTTACTTCAGATCAACTTTCCTGACTATCTACCTGTAGATGAACCTACAAACAATGTGAAGAACAGTGGAGAGAAAGGATGAACAGGAGAGCCCTATTCTCACAATAATATAGCACAGGTCATACGGTGAATATGAAATACGCATAAAAATCCTTAATGGAAACGCTTCTTTGCAGAACACACAGCGAGCATGAGGAACTTAATGCCACAGTAATATTACTGAGGCCAGAAGTTTATCATCTTTGAGAGGATTAAGTATCCATAATGAGAATGTCCACAGTTACAATACGTAAGATAAAGAGATTATAATGTTTCAGAATAGACATATTATTTACTGAGGGGATTAGGAAGATGTCTTCCCTATTGACAGACGGATCAATGATTTCATCTTCCTCTGACGTATATAGTAGTGATTACAGCATCTGATAGGGTTTCGGACTAGGTGAACAGTTGGTCTAACAGAAGCATTCCCAGTATGAAAATCTTAATGTTTCTGTTCAAGATTTTATGCATATGAGATTCCCTAACAAAAATCTGGGGAATAAAAATGAACTTCAATGAAACATAAGTTCCACCTAATTTGAGCCTAGTATATTGTTAGATCAGGTTTAGGAAGCCTTAGAAGAACAAATAAATTGTTAAGTCTCGTTCACTTTTCCAGGCTTTTAACCCATGCTGTACTTTCATCACACCTCCTTTTCCAATGGCAAATTTGGGTCCTCCCTGTATTTTCCTAGACTGAGATGGAGGAGGAGATTGGAGATGCTCTTTCTAGCATTTTTGCCTGTGCAGAACTTTAGGTTGATTTAGACAAGTTGTTTCGTGAGTCCCAACAATAGCAAAAATTGCAAGATGTGGACTCTTTTTTGCTCATTACTTTGTTTTTTTCAGAAGTAAAACTTCTTTTCTCATCACTCAGTCCTCATAAAATTACTGAGAAATGCTTAGCTTAGGTTTATAACATACAGCCTGATGACTTCCAAGCCCATCAGCGGTGGTGTCCTTGCCCAGCAGTTCCTTTTTATTCACGCATAAAAAGGATGGGATGTGGCATCTAACCTGCATGCCCGTGCTGGTGAAAGCCAGTAGTGTGCATGTGGCTATACTGATTGACAAAA